GGGCGCCGCGCGAGGAGGGGGCGGGCGGGCGGGCGGGCGGGCGCCGAGGGCAGCGGCCGCAGGGAAACGCGCGGTTAATCATTAACCGGGAGGGCCCGGGGCGCCCGAGCCGCCGCGCCGGCACCGGGGGCCGCACCGGGACCGCCGAGCCGGGGTCGGGTTTCCCTTAGCGCTCGGATTAGGGGCCTCCGTATGGAATCCGGGGGATGTCGTTCGTCTGGCTGGGTTTTTCCCCTGTTAACGTGTATGTATAAGCGTGTCGTATTTGTGCTTTAAAAACCACATTCCGGTAGTGCCGAGGAAAGGAGAGCAGCCTTGGAGTTGCTGTCGTGTTTAAACAGAAGGAAGTTTGGAAGCCAGATGGGAACCTCGATCAGAGCCAAACTCGATCCGGGGGGTTTGAGCGTGAGCGACGAGCGGTTCCTCCTGCGCTGCCCCGAGGAACGAGGCTGTCCTGCAGAATCCTCATCCAGCAGCCCTGCTCTTTCTTATCCTGTTGTTATATATTACACATTGCAAAGAGGAAGAAAAATCATATCTTATAGCCAGAGCCTTATCTCCTTGATGAGTTTTTTTTCCTTCATGCTCACAAAGGAACATCACAAATAACATTTTCGTGCGTTCTCACGCTAGAGCGCTATGAACACACATCCTGCCACTGCTTCTCATGCAGTAACATGAGCTTTTAATTTGCCCTCTCTCTCCGTCGTCCTCAGGTTGAATTACTGTTCACCTGCTGTGTTTCCAATGGAATTCCGTGCATGCTTTAACTTACGGTGGAAGCTGCCCCAGTCTGTCCTGAAAAGATCCCCTTGTCCATTAGAAGCAGGTCAGTGTCCTCCACCAAATGCAGGAATTTGTAATTTGCTGAGAAACGTCATCTGCTACAGAATCCATGGAGCACCTTCCTGTGGTGCAGAGTCTTCTACTGGAATTCTAGGTCTGGGGTTTCATTTAAAACACACGTGCGGGTTGCAGGGCCCGGCGTGCTGCTGGCTTTTCCCATGGACAGCCCCGTGGGATGCACGCGGAATCCTTGCACATAGGGATGTCCATGCTGTGGCTTCCCACCCTACATCCCTTCCAGCTTTATTAGGGAGACTCCTTCATTTGTGGCCATCTGGCTGCAGTAACTGTGAGCCCGGCCCTGTGTCCAACAGAACCGGGGCTCCCTCGGGCCCGGCTTGCTCAGTTTTGCCTTTGAGTTTTGAGTGGCTCGGGTGACGTTTCAGCCATTTGGAGCTTGCTCTGTGCTCAGATGAACCGAGGCTGCGGTTGGGCTGTGGGATCCCGGGATGCAGCGGTATCCAAAGGGCCTCCTCGGCACAGGATTGCTCAGGGCCCATGCAGCTGAACGGGCCCCTATGGTGCCCTTTATAGGTTTACATTAAACAATTCCACGCATAAAAGCAAGGCACTGAGGAGGCTTTCCAGAACCCAATTGCTGTTTGATCATTTTTATTGCTGCGCTTTGATCCAGTTTTGATCTTTTAAGTTGGTTAAATCCTCTTGGTGCATCAGGGCCGAACAGTGTATGGGGAAAGAGCTAGAAGAGGATTCTGGTGCCGAGTAAGGAGTGACCTTCCAGGAGGACATTTCAGTGCCTGTCACCTTATATTATTTTGATCTTCCTTCTATCTCTGCTGTCTTGACTCCATTGTATTATTGAGACCGCTGTGGATTTTTGTGCCATCCTTTTTCATACATTTTTTTTTCATATTTATTGTAAGCGAAGGGTTTTAAAGTAGGTGTTTATGAAGGACCAGATTGCAGCTATTTCATGAGACTTTAGGTTTTGAGTATTAAAATAGGAAATTTAATGTGTTGAAAAGGAGGTCCTTGTTTCCTCATTGGTCTTAGAATATTTCTTTCCTCCACATGTTTTTGAATATCTTATATGGCAAGATATAATAGCCAGACCTCTTCTGTGCCCATTCCAGAAAATGGTACTAGTGTGTTTTATTTATTTATTTTAATGTCTTGATTTGCTTAGTTGGAGGGAGATTCTCCTGCTGTTGGCTTTCCTTCCCAGTAAATGCATATAGGTCTGAAGTTGGTAGGTTTGCAGGCATGAAAACACTGAGCCAGACAGGCTGATGCCACTAAGGGTCCTGCTAGGAAGGATATGGGGACACTGAGCATCTCCAGCGTGTAATTCGTGGGCTGGCAGCACTTCCATCTGCCTGGCACTAACGGGAATTCTGATTTTCGATGTACAGTGCCCTGTTTTGCCTCTGAGCATAAATGAAGCCGTAGTGTGGAACTGTACGAGTCAGCAGTGCTGGAAGCAACGCGTGGCAAAGCCCAGCCCCTGTGCCCGGGAAGCTGCCCTCGGGGACACGGCACAAAATGATGTAACCTGGTGAAAATACCTGCAGAAATAAAGGTGCCCCCGTCGCCCACTGCAGCGCGGTGCCGTCGGCGCAGCCCCTCCTCGAGACCCGACACCGTGACGAGAGCTGCCGAGGGGAAGGGATAGAGCTGCTTGTCTGCCAAGACTTCCAGAGTCTTCCCAGTTCACCGGGGAAGAGCTCCAGCCCTCGTGGATTCCAAGGTTTGTGCCGGTGCCAGTGCCTGTTTCTGGAAACGTGGCCGCCCTGTGAGGCGCCTCGGAGCTTCAGGGGCACTGGAGTAATCAGAAAATTCAAGGGGGAGGTTGTTTTTTACTGAAATAAAATTGCATTCTTTGATAGATACAGTGACGTTAATGAGAACTTAAAGAATAGCAGCAAATTCAAATATTAAGATATAAAAATTTAAATATTTTAATATTTAGTACCTGTGCATTACTGTTTCAGAGTGCGCTTAAGCTTATGGTTTGCGCTGCGTTTTTGGAAGAGCTGATTAGCTGAGCTGATTTTTTGTTTTTCCTCGTAGAAAATGGCATTTATGGAAAAGAGGGTGGCTTTGTTTTGGCTGGGTGGCTAGAGTGGCCATCGGTAACTTTGAAATAGGTGTCACGTGGTGAGACAGGCCACGCTACACACTTCAAAGTAGCTTAGTTTCTAAGAAAAGCTCCCTCTCGGCTACGCTAAACCTCAGCCATCATTAATAGGATTCAATCGCTGCTTTTATTTATGTGGACGGTGTAATACTAATAAAATATTTTTCCTTCTCTTCCGTGCTAGGTTTCCAATAGGAAGCATTTCTGGGCCGTGTGTGCGGGCAGCTCCCGAGGATGGCGAGCAAAGGACCCGCGACGTCCGCGTCGCCGGAGAGCTCCAGCACTGGAGGGACCAGCGGCAGCAGCAACGGGGCTGGGGACAGCACCAGTCAGGACAGCACCTTCGAATGCAACATCTGCCTCGACACGGCCAAGGACGCGGTTATCAGCCTCTGTGGACACCTCTTCTGGTGAGTGCTCCCGGCTCCACAGGCCACCCAGAAGGGTTTTTACAATTATCAAATAAAAACCGAGTTTACTGTAAAAACTGAAGAATGAAGAAAGCCCTTGGCTTTGATGAGGGTGCACCTTATTTTTTTGCTCCTGAACTGTTTTTCTCTATTTTGCTCCTGAACATTTTAAATATATGCAGGTCGGAGAACATTGTTCTTGCCTTTTTTTTTTTCCCCTCCTTTCTGATTTTGTAGGAACAAACAAGCAAGCAGAAAGCCCTGGATAGCTCAGTGTTAACTGATAGTGCTTGCCTAAGCGTGTTATCTCATTTGTGCTTTCTGCTCTAGCACAGATATCCTGTTCAGGCCTAAGTTCCCTTCTAGCCCGTGCATATCAAAAAGTAAACCTGAAATAAAGTTCCAAAGGCCAAACTATATTTTTTTCTCTTTTTTTAAACCATAAAATGTTTTTGGAGAGCATGTTTTTACTTGTGGGCCATTTCTCTTTTCCCACAGTATTGCAGTTGTACTACCAGCCGTTCAGTTCTTTAATCAGACTTAATAACGTTGCATGGGTGCAGTCAGCGCTTCTCATTTCGGAAGACTGGCCTCAGATGCCCCTCCTGAGGTTCAGAAAGCTGTTGAGGGTTGACATTGTTTTGCTTTCCATAGTTTAATGGCATAATTTATGCTTTTTAATAAAAGCTACAGTTCTCTCTTATGATAACGTATCTAATGTGAAGGTCCAGGTCTGTATTTTAGAATCACTTGCTGATACCTGAAAATGGTTGCAATGGTTAATGTCTCAAAAGCATTTTGAAGAATGGACCTTTAAGGAATAGCCTGTATCTTCTTAATAGTGGAGGTGTAAGCACCATGTTGAAAGCTGGTGGCTGCTTGGCAGTTTGGCTTTGCACCTTGTTTACCTGGGATCATTTTGGAGTTGCCACATTAGTTTTAAGAGCACTATTGTATAATAGGAATTTCTGTGCTCTAGGCAACCTGGGTCTAGCCATATACCTGACCCTGCTTTAAACAGGCAAGACAATGACTAGACACCTCTTAGGTCTCTTCCAACCTGAATTAATCCATGATTTTATGAATGTGTCCCATCTTTTTGCTATACATCTCTTGCATGACTTCTATTAAGATTCTGAAGTCTCATTACTGTCATTTTTCTAATTTGCATCTTAGCTCAGGGATATCTCTTCATGGACTCAGAAGAGAAAATCTGTGCTGTAAACACCCTGAGATGAATTAAGCCTCTCTTTGGGCCGTTGGTAGGGATGAGGACACAGCAGTCAAAGGTGATGTGGAGAGAATCCCATTAGCAACTTACTTAGCTTGCATAACCTGAAAAGACCAGTGGAGATCAATCCTGGGCTGTGACTTCAAAACTTATTTTAATGGGAGGTTCCAGAACTGGCCTGACCAGATTCCAGGATTCAGGTGTCTCTAAGCTGGGCTATCCCTGGTGCACTTTATACATTTGTCAGATCAAATGCTCAGTAACTAATTCTATTTTCCCCTCTCTTTCTGCTCTGTGAACGAATTGTCCTGGGAATGCTCACAGCTGGCCTTGTTTACACCAGGTAAGACAGGTTACCTTTTACGTTGACTTTCATCAGCTTCTGTTACACAATACAGCCGTTGGCTCTCTGGAGTATTCAGTTAAAAGCTAAAACATCCCCCTTTTTTCAATGTACGTGTTTCTCTCTAGGGTAACCACAAAGTGCAAGTGCAACTCCATGTGCAACAACTCGCAATTCTTTCAGTGAAACTTAGATATCATTCCCTCTCCATGCCAATATTCAGTGTTTTAACCACTGCCTCTTCTCTCTTTTAATAGGAGATAAAGCTTTAGTCTGGAGGCTAAATTTCATTTGTATTTTTTGCATATGTGGGGTTGTACACTGTAGTAACAGCTCAGAAAATGAACCTGCTTTAGCCTTTAGCCCATGCCGGGGTGTTGCTGCTGTGTATTTTCTCATATACATCCAGTGCAGTTCTGAATGTGTAGATGTCAGCAGATGGAACATAGCAGAACAGCAGCCAAAATGCCAGGGTTTTGGAGAGAGCTTGGCACTTAGTGGGATGTTTTGCTCCCTGGCTTTCTGAGAAATTGCTGAAGTCTCTACTTGGCTGCAAAGAGGTCTGCAATTAGTGTTCTCGTGGTGCTTGATTTGAGTTTTGTTTCCTTTCTTTCAGTGGCTGGAGACCAGGCCAAACAGACAAGTGTGTCCGGTTTGCAAAGCAGGAATCAGTCGAGACAAAGTTATTCCTCTGTATGGAAGAGGCAGCACTGGGCAACAGGACCCCAGGTAAGGAGCCCGCATGCAACTGTGTTTGTGGGAAAGCTGCCACCCCTCAAGATGAAACTTCTAAACTGTTACATTCACAACGTGAAATATCACGTTGCCAGAAACAGGATAGAACTGACATTTCTGCAAAATATTTCTGGGTTTGCACGCGGTATTTCTTGTTCATCTGGCAATTGATTTAATTCTAATTGGTTGTAAACTATCAGCAACACGTTGTAAGTTGTGATTAGTGTTATCTGATTGTAGGTGCTGTATAAAGTGTTCAGACTTTGTTACTGGCCCTCAGTTTCTGCCATCTGCCATGAGACTTTGCTTTGCAAAGTTGCAAAGTCCTAATTCAGGGATGTGATCCTGAGTCAGGGTTCCTGAGTTGGTGGCTGTCGTCCCTCACGCTGCCTCCAGCCCTGCTGCTGCAGGATCCTGCACGAGATTGCTCTGTGCTTATGCTGCCTCTTTAGCCAGGCTATGACAGATACTGTTACCATGTGGTTGCCCTTGCACTTGAGCTAACGTGAGAATTTCCTGCAGAGAGAAAACTCCACCCCGACCCCAAGGGCAGAGGCCTGAACCAGAGAACAGAGGGGTAAGTGAAAAAACAGGCTGGAGCAGATAACTTGCTCTTATTGCTGGTGGTATCTGTGAGCCTTGAAGGGCACAGTGTGTAGGAGCTCGCATGATCACCCTGTAGTTTTTCTTGCTCCTTGCCAGTAGGTTTTTCATGAATAACAGATAACTGCCGTGCGGCAGGAAAGCTCCATTCCTGTGGTGCTCGTTAGCATCCCAAAGAATGAGTTAAGGCAGTCATGCCTCAGGAAAACAACGCTGTGTGGCAGCACGGGAAGGGAAGCACCATTCTCTGTGCTTGATCATTCTCCATAGAGAAATACAAGGAACACTCAATTTGCAGATTCCCTGTGGAAATACATTTTTGTCAAATGGTGATGTGGAAACGTGTAATCCGTGTATGAATACTGAAGTAACAGTGATTGCCACTCGTAGCATCTCTGTATGGGATGTTACTGTCCATGGCGTTGCCTGAAAAGAATGTTGGATTTCTCTGTTGGATCCATGTTGAAGTGGGGTCTGTGTTTTGGCTGAGATTATGCATGGAAAATAGAAACAGCAGCTCACACATGATAAACAGATATGTGGAAGAGCCACTAGGTCAGCCCCCCACACACTCCCCTGTATTTTCTAGCGCGGTGACAGCAAGCACGACCTGATGAAACAATTGTGTATTTCCGTGTAATTCAGGCCAGGGTCCCCAGAGAGCATCCGTGTGCCTCTCACTTCGCACAAACAGCCCTGCTGGGTGTGATTAAAGAACATTTTTGCATGTGAATAGATTGGGAGCTCAGCTCGCTCTCTCCAGGGAGTTGCTGCCTTATTAAATCAGCTGCTGCACCTCGGTTGAACCTTTTAGCGGGTGCTGCTGCAAGTCAGATGAGTATGTGTGGAGATCTAGCAGCAGTGATGGGTCCTTCCTGTTCCCAACAAACACAGGACCTGCCATGCACAGCCCTTTGCTCGCCCTGATAGGGAGTTAATGTTAAAGCAGCTGAGAAGAGTCATAATCAAGACTAACTCTTGAAATCAGTGATCAACACTGAAACATGCGGCTTAAATTATGCCAGTGAAATTCATGTTGGTCCCTCCTGTTACAGGGAGGTAATAGGCCAGGGTGTTTTTCAGAATTGGTGTCACTCGTATTCAGGAACAAGAAGAGTTGCTGTATTAGAGGACACCATTTGCTGTAGGGAGACACTGAGCTCTCCAGAGCTAAAGAGGACACAGCTGCTTAGGATTTATATACAGTTGTTTCTTCATCAGTACACTGCTTTTATATGTTGCAATACAAATCCATTCCGATGCAGATAACTTATCTTTTGGCTTGAGATGAAATTTTGCTCTGGACCACCTACAGTCACTGCTGCTGCAGGGCAACCCTGTCTTCTTTGATCCTGTCTTGCATTCCTGCCCCATATGACTTCGTGTGTCAACTCAATTACAGGCACCCTGACATAAACATATATATGATTTTTGATTGTTTTTCCCTATAATGCTCCATGAATTCTCCTGGCAATTTATCTCTTTGCTGAATGTTTAAGTGATGTATTAAAATCAATGCAGGTTATTTTTCACTATACCTTTGTTTTGGATGTATATGACTAATAGCTATTTAATACAGAACTGCAGTATTTAAATGTCACAAATAGTATTTGGCCATGTTGCCTTCGATATGTTGGGATATGTTGAGGTTGAAGAAAACAAGCTCCTGGTTTTCTTCTTCTAAGACTGTTGGGTTACTATTGGGTGGCACTTTCACAAGCAGGAGAATATTTTGAAATCTTTTTTTTTTTTTTTTTTTTTTTATAATGACTTGTAACCTTTATTCTTTTTAATCCTCTCTTGCTTTATTCTCTGGAGGGATTCCAGGGCTTTGGGTTTGGCGATGGCGGCTTCCAAATGTCGTTTGGAATTGGGGCCTTTCCCTTTGGTATATTTGCCACAGCATTCAACATAAATGACGGGCGACCTCCTCCAGGTAATGCACCTCGTGCCTCGTAGGAGAGGCTTATCATAAACCAGTGTTTTACAGAACATTTGTAACATTTAAACAGCCTACTAAGTGGCAAAACCTTCTGAATAGTCAGAAACTGTGTTAGAGAGACACGGGATTAGGGAAAACACCCTGTAGAGAACACATCCTGTGTTAGAGCTTCCATAAGAGAACTTACATAGCAAGAAAGTTGGTCAGTTCCCTATATTTTGCTGCAGGCCCCATTAAGGGGGCAGTAGAACTGGAGAGAGAGAGAGTAACATTGTCTTCTCCCTTCTCTTCAGTTTAAATTTCTCCTCAGACAATAAATTTCTTCTCCAACAAACTCCCCTCAGAAAAAGAATAAAGACCCACATTATTTGTATTCACCTAGAAGTAACATTCTGGTGATTTTTTTTAAAAAAAATTAAGAAAAAAATAAAAAGTTATTTCAAACATTGGCCTTATTATCTAAAAATTGCTTGGTAACCCCCAGAAACACTCATCCGCATCAGCACTGTAGAAAAATTGAGTCTGCCCATTTTGAACAAGCAAACCTGCTGCCCAACATGCTCCTGTGAGGAAAAGTTGCCTGTGGTAAATCTGCTTCACTGTCATGCAAGTTGAGGGTATGTTGTGTTTTAGCCTAGGAATTATGAGGGTAAAATCCCAAAGTTCATTGCTCCTTCATGTGTTGCATGGGACCTGTGTTGTCCTTGGGCCAAACCGACTTGCCTTATAGCTCCCCTTTGCTTTGCACTGAAAACTGTGATGGGCCCAAGCTGAGGAGGATGTAAATGTGCGTTGCTGTAACTGCCACCACTTACCCAGCACTTTTATCTGCTGCTCACCTGTGAATTCCATACAGCAGTTTCAGAAAGGCCCATCCAGAGCTTTAGGCTTGTGTGCTTTTCATCAGTTCTCTTGGTCAAGGCTCAGCTTTAATGTTATTACCATTTGTGTATTTTTCAACTTAGGTGCTATATGCTGAATACACGATATTCTGCAGAAGTAGAAAGAGCTGAACTGTTTTTCTTTAACTTCCTGTTTTCCAGCTGTTCCAGGGACTCCTCAGTATGTGGATGAGCAGTTCCTATCCCGCCTCTTCCTGTTTGTGGCTCTGGTGATAATGTTCTGGCTGTTGATTGCATAAATCTTTTCCATTATTCCATATATTCCTGGCCAGCAAGGCCTCTGAAACAGTTACAAACTGCACCCCCTTCCCATGTTAAACCTCTTGGTGTCTGGTTCCATAGTTAATCGCAGGTTCCAGAAATTGGTGGTCCCACAGCACAATGAGGAATCTCACGTTTTGCACCCGAGTTGGAAATTAAACGTTGGTTTGAAAGCGTATTTCAGCTCAGCTCTCTCGTACAACGGGTTCCTGCCGCAAACCATGGGCCTAGCTTTGAGCTCCACTTCTACAGGGAGTGCTGCTTTGAAATCCTGTGCCAATCGGTTACAACAGGGTTACGTGAAAGACAGTTGCCCCGAGGGAGGCTGGGCAGGTAAGCAACGCTCTGCAGCGTGATCAGTATCTCGTGCCGGCAGCCACAACGGATCAGCTGGATCTGTGGATATTGTTTAATGTCCTCCCATCAACATCCAGCCTTCCTCAGGAGGCCACTGGCAGCTCTGCGGAGACTCCTCGGGCACGACTTGTGGAACTAACTTTGGAGACTGGTTTCTTTCCTCGCAGTTTGATGGAGTGATGGGAAAATCCCTGCTGAAGCAGTCTCAGTGGCCGTTATAAGAATGGATACAAATTTATGATGCATTTTTGCAAAGCCTGGATTTGTTGGAGCCAGACACTGGAAGATGCTCTCGTCCTGGAGCTGCTGGGGCTGATGAACAGTGCGACACGGCGCTCTGCCTCGCCCAGCTCCGTTCCCCACTGACAAAACAGTGTTGTCTTCCTTGGTTCTACACGGCAGCCTGCGGCTGCGCTCACGGATGACCCCCTCACCTTGTCGCTGTAGCTACGTTTCCTTTCCTCGAGGCTGTGAGACCATAAGCAAGATCATGTACTCCAAATAAAATCCTATTAACAGATCTGAGAGCAGCTTCTTGGGGGAGAGGATCCAGGGACACTTTCTTTAAAGAGAGTTTTGGATTGGACTTGTCAGGCTGTAAAATTCTATAGGAGGGGATATGAAATCCTGCCTTTGCTAGGCACAGTAGGGAGCACTTGGAAGTGTTTCTCCCTACAGGGCTGCACAGCTGCTCCCTGCCACCACCGAATGGCTACAGCGCAAGAGTCCTTGCAATATCTACCAAAGATATTCACTGGAAACACTGGAGGAAACTACCACCTCTTCCGTGCTGAGGGGAAGGCACAAATGTTGCGGCAGGTGAGCGCACGAGACTGTCGCCTCTTTGGAACCGAGTTGGGTTCAAAGCTTTGAAAAGTATTCCCCACGTCCTTGTGTAGATTCTCTCAGAGCCGCGGGTAGGAGGGATTCCCTGGCAAGATGAACAGTTCTGCGTTTCCTTCTGCCTGGGGAATTCCAACCGTTTTTCGTTTTTCCTTTATTGTTCTTAATCATTGTGATGGAGGTCGCTGACGGCGCTGTCCTGGGCGGGGAGCTGGGGGCCCCGTGGGCGGCGAGCCGGGCGCCGGCCTCGTGGAACAGCCCAGGGCCGCGGGGAGCCGACTCCAGCAGCCCGCAGGGCCCCTCGCACCTTCCGCTGCGTCCGGCCGCATCCAGCGCCGCCTCGGGCGGCTCCTAACGGATTAACGAGCGCGTCTGCGAGGGAAGGCCGCGCTCTAACGCTCGAGGCCGCGGTTCAAACGGGCTCCCCCCGCAGGCCCGGCGCAGCTCTCCGGCCCCTCGGCCGTGACCGTTTTGTATTACATCCCCTGCGGTGCGTGCCGCTCCCCGCGCGCTGGTTTTCGCTGTTGTGACGGTGTTTCGAATAAAGAGACGGTTTTACACGGAGGCGAGCGCCGCGGGCCCGGCGCCGCCGCCTCCCCTCAGCGCGGGCGCGCGCGCTACCTGCCGCCGGGCGGGGGAGGGGCGGCCGCCGCGGGGGCGGGGCGCGCCGCGGAAGGGGCGGGAGGGGCCGTGCGCGGCGCCCATTGGCCCGCGGCGAGGAAAGGGGCGGGGCGCGGGGGGGAAGAGACGTGAGGGGAAGGTGGGCGCGCGCGCGCGCGCCAGGTGCGGCGTGGCCTGCGGCGCGCTCCGTAGCGGTGACGTCACGCGCGGGCGAGCCGCGGCGGCGGCGATGGAGGCGCCGCCAGGTGAGGGGGCGGAGGGGCCGGGCCGGGCCCAGGGCGCGCGCAGGTGCGGGCGGGCGGGCGGGCCGGGCTGGACCGGGTGCGAGGGCGGCGCCGCGCGGATCTCCGGGAGCCGCGGCCGCCCGCCCGCCTCCCCACGCCGCTTCCTGCTCTGTCTCGTCCTTTCCCCATCTGCCGGGCGACGCCGCGGCCCGCTGGGCGGTGGGGACCTTCCCTTCCCTTCCCGCCGCCCCGGCCGTGCCGCCGCTCGGCCGCTCTCGCGGTGGCGGGGCCGGGCGGCTCCGCGGGCTCTCCCGGCGCTGCGGCGGGCGCGCTCCGCGCCGCTGTGTCCCGGCCCCGGACAGAGCCGCTCCCGGCCGAAGCTCCCGGGAAGCGGCGCCGCCGCCTGCCCCAGCCGCGAGCCGTGCTCCCCGGGCACCGTGTCCCGCAGCGCAGCCCGCTCGGCGGCGGCGCTGGGGAGCCGCAGCCGCGGGGACGGGTCCCGTGTGCGCGTGGGGCGGCCGGGACCCGCGCGCCCTCCGCCCCGCGGCGCTGCGAGCAGCCCGGCTCGGGCGCCTGGTTGCTCAGAGAGCCACAGGCGAGCGAGGGGAATTTGGGCAGCCTTACGCGCACCGCGCAGCCTTTGCAGGTTATTTAGCTCTTATATCAGCCGCTAAAGCCAGCCTTTCCCCGCCGTTGCTTTCATTTCAGGTGGGGTTCCCAGCCCTGGGCCCCGCTTGCCCCGGCGCTCCCCGTGCTGCTGCGCGTGTCCAGCGCTGCCCGTGCGGCTGCCGACACGGGGGCTGCATCGGGCAGAGCCAGAGCCCTGCGCAGCGCTGGCGTGTTACCGGAGCGCTGAGCCGTGTCACCTGTTGACCCTTTTCCTGACGAGCCCCTTGCCTAGTGCCTGTGTCTCCAGTTGCATTCGCTGCACACGGTAACGTTCTCTCGGCTTAAACCACGGAGCTGGAGAAACGATGAGATGAGAAGTTGTCTTCCCTGTGGCACTAGGACGGGCTTTATAAACGCTACCGTGTCGACCTTCTGCAGCTTCCCCGGCCCCGTGCAGCTGCCTGCTCCTGTGGGGCGTCTCTGGAGCGGGGCAGGTGCCTGGAGCGGCCGTTTGGAGCTGCCTGCTCCTGGTTCTTGGGCCGTTTGGAATCTGGGAGCAAGTGGAAAGTGTCACCCGGGGGCTGCGCTGGCTCTTTGTGCACCGCACTTGCAGAACGCTAGACTGGATGATCTCTAGAGGTCCCTTCCAACCGTTCTGTGATCCCGGGCATTTCCAGCCTGCGGATTCCCTAGTAGCCAATCTGAGCTTCGTGTCACAAGTGATTAACAGGCAGGAGTCTCCCTATGGGAACTTGCAAAGGCAGCCACTGTAGGAAAAAGCCTGAAAAGGATTTGGTCCGTTTGGGAGCTATCCTGTATCTGTATAAGTTACAGGCTGAAGTTACAGGAGGAAGCCGGGTGTGCCTGAGCGCTTGGCGCTTGCAAGGGTGCAACTCCACCCAGCCGCAAATATTTGATACTTGCAATTGATCCTGCAGGAAAAAAAAGCTGTCTCCTTTAATGTATGCTCCAGAGAGAAGGGGTAATCGAGTGGCTGCTGGGGTTTTCTCCCCTTTGGAAGCTGCAAGTCCATGGTTAGTGGTTTTCCCTCTCTGTGAGCTTTCCTTTTTCCTTTATGCAACTTTGCTGAAAGGAACCTTCTACCAGCAGGAAGACAGACACTTGAGATGCACCGAGCAGCTGCGTAACCTGTTCCTTTTCCTGGATCCAGATCCCAGAGTTCTCCTTTAAGACAGTCCGTGTATCTGTTTGGGTTTGGGATAGCGTTTAGCTCTTGCTCTGCCAAACACCCTCGGTGCAAGAATCTTCCAACGCTTTTTTAGCTGGCATCCCCCTGAAGAACCCGCTGCCTTGGGGGGAGCTGGCACTGCTAGCAGAACCTGTTAGAGCTTTTTGACCCTCCACAGCTTTTTCTGAGGGGATTTTAGGCTAAAAATATCTGCCTCCATCTCAAAATCTGGCTCTAGCCTGGTGCTCAATGTACGGTCTCTACTGGAATATCAATTGGAGTGTGTAATTCCTTCCTGGTAGGCAAGTTGTTCTGTTGTTCTGTGCTGAATAAAGTTTGCCTTTCTTTCTCTGCTGGGAAATGCACTTAATTATACAAATGAGTGCAAATGTTATGTGCTGAGTCAGTGGCGTCGGGGAAACAGTAGCTTGGCTTCCTGACCTTGTGAAAAATAATATTGCTTTCTTGTGCAGAATATGAGGAAGCTGATGGGGTGAGATGTGAAAGGAGGGGGAAAAAAGAGCGTATGAGATGTTGAATTTAGAAGCTTCCGTCTCTGGTGCGACGGCATGGCTGGTATTGAGTTAACTTTCTGTGCCTGAAGACTTTGATGTTCGTTACGTAATTTAAGAACGTCCTTTGTCAGGGACACGGGGACCCTGGTTTCCTCCTTGTCAAACGGTTCCTTATTCCTTGTTCCTGCTCGCAGGTGACGAGGTCTGGAGATGCCTGGGATGCGGGGACGGCATCGCCGCCGGCCAGCGCGTCTACAGGACCGTTAACGAAGCCTGGCACAGCTCCTGCTTTCGGTGGGTAAAGGTTTAGCCCGTTGAACTCTCCTTGTGTTAATAAGCAAGCTAGGACCTGGTGGAAGAAGTACCGACGTGAACAGGGATTGGGCCGGTGACAACATCCTGCTGTCACCTGCATCCCAGCCCTTCCGGAGCCTCCTGTGGGACGGCTGTGTCCTCCTCTTTGCAGCTGGATTTCAGTGCTGGCAGCAGCACCTTGGAGCTGCCTTTCCCTTCTAGCAGCAGCCTGAAGCTGTCGGGCAAAGCGCTGCCATGCGGTCACCAGCACACCCGGAATACAGATAAAGCACCAATAAAAGCTCGGATTTACCGCAGGTAGCGGAAGCCCTGGGTTGCATGTTTGTCTGCAGCTGCTCTCCAGAATAATGTCCAGGCAATTTGGATGCCCTGTGTGCGATACAAGAGAGACATCGGGGTGTTGCTGATGTGGAGGGAGATCTTGTCCTTTCGCTTTCCCTCCGTTCCAGGCTATTAAGACACCTCAACTTGGTGGAGATCTCCCGTGATAGTGTCCTTCAAAGGAGGACACTATGCCAAAGGGCCAAGCGAGGGCCCTGCCAGGCTCTTCCACCCTGTCCCATGCACCGTCAGGCGGGTTTTCGTGCCCCAGAGCGATGCTTGTGAGGGGGGCTGCGGCCTGGGCGGTCCCACAGCCTCTGTGGGCCTCTCTGTTGGAGCAGCTCTTGGCTTGGGTCTGTTTGGGACCTCGTCAAAACAGATGAGGGGGGAAGAAGCCAAAGGGTGGCTTTGGAGCAGGGTGTGCTGTGCCGGGGAGGGGGGATCTGCTGACCTGTTGTTGTTCTGTTTTTGTTTCTTTTGGATTCTTGTTTCTTTTTTAGAGAAAAAAAATACATTGTTGAAGTGAGGATTATGGTAATTGGTGTATGTTTATATATATATATATATATATATATATATATATATAACTGCCAAAGTGATGCTAGCTCTGCTTGGAAGAAATATTCTTATTTAAATGACTTCTTGATCATCACAATTATTGCTTTATATCACTGCGAATGCCCATCTTTTGGGTCTCTGCTGGTCTGGGTATTCACATATGGCTCTGTAGGATGGGTTTCAACAGTGAGCTGTTGTCTGCCCTTGTCTTCCCCTCACAAACAGCATCCTGGTGTTGCGCCTGCTCCCCTTCCACCAGGCTGCAACCCAAACTCCTGCCTGGGAGTCTCTGTCCTGTCTTTTCTTAGACCATAGCTCTCACATGGGACTTGATTTGCGGATGTCCAAGTGCCTCTTGCTGTTGGGACTGTTGAGGAAGGGTAACAGCCAAGTTGGAGGGCAATCCTGCCCTTAATGACAGCGTATGAAACTTGTGAGGCTGAGTATAGGGTCTAACTATATGTGTAATCTTGACGTG